GGACGTCATTTATAAAGCTTTTCAAGAGGTGCCATTATTATTTGAGGGAAGACGTTGGTTCGGGCAGACCAAAGACGTCCTTTGCTTTAATAACGATGACATCATCTTTTTAAAGGAAAACTAAATATTGACCATTAGATTGCATAAAGAAAACAAACTTGACCATTAGATTTAAATTTTATTTTCCTATAAAAAATGATTACATCATCTTGGGTTTGCTATTATATATAGATATCTTTATGGGTTAAAATTGAAATTTATATATAACAATGAAGGTAAATTATCATTTTTATTATTTTTTTATTATAAAACCTATTATTTATGTTGAATATACATTTTTAGTTCTTAATAATAAATAAATAGGTATTGAATGATATTTTTATTATAAATTTATACATATTTATTATACATATTTCTAAATGTAACGAATATACATATTTTGAAGTTATTAATAAACATTTATTTTAGTTTTAATAGCTTAACTTATTTGATTAGTTGTAATTAAATTTTTAGATTTATATTTATTAAAACGTTTACGATGAGCATTATGCTATAAGAAGAAAAATTCTCATTATTAGAATTTCGTATACAGATTAGTTAGGTACAAATAGGTAGGTGGAATATTGGTTTCTTAAGACATTTAAATTTTGATAGATTAGGATTGCAAGTAAATGACAAATAAATCCAATGGTATAAAGATGTAATTATTGAGGAAAATTAAGGGGTATTTCAAATTTGAACTTCAGTTTTAATAGTTTAGATTAGTAAGAGGGTAATTTAGACTTTTAATCTATTAACTAGATTTTGATCCGCGCTTAGGAAGCGCGGATTTATTTTTTTCATTTATTAATAAAACTAATTCAAAAATTGGTCTATAATAATGTTTGTGTTTAAGAAAAAAAATCATATTGGATTCAGACCCGTGGTTGAATCCGTAGATTCAATACCTTGTATATAATCTGGTTTGGATTTAATGAAAATATCATTAATTAAAAAAGATAAAATTCCGGTAAAACGCAAAAAAACGTTATTAACCCGTGATGTAATACAACTGATCTAATAAAAACACAAAATATCTGATAATATTTTTATTTTTTCAGTTGCATTATTCATATAATTTTTATTATTGTATAAACTTGTGATTACTTAGATTTTGATGAAATTTTTATCAGTGACATTAAAAAAATGATAATATAAAAAACTTATTGACATGATACTATTAGTTTGTTTTTATTATTAATAACATATCATAATTTTACACTTTATTTTATATTGAAGATTTAATTTTGTGATAATTTGAAAATACTTTTAAACACTCACAATTGTCCTATCAATTTTGATGTATAAAATGAAAAATAAATATTTTTAAAAATATTTTTTATATATATTAATTTTTGATCGTTGAATAATATTATACGCAAAAATTAATATTCAGATATGTAAATGATTTATGGTGTAGGACATAGAGTTTTGGTTTGTAATGCATAATATTTGAATGATCTATTTTGAATGTTGATACTAGGTTTAATAAAATAATATTTTGATGTCATTATGTTTGCTTTCATTTTTTCCCATAATTTTACTCCAGATTATATAACAAATGAACAACAATTATCGATTGTGCTAAAATAATTGTATGAGACTAATATTAGGTGTATGTTAAAAATGATTAGTTGTATATTATATACATATAGTGGAGTCCAAGCTGTGAACAACCGTTTGTACATGAATTAATTATTGTTTTGACTAATGTATATAATATAAACCGGTTTGAACTCAGGGTTACGGAAAGTATTAATACACGTTATATTAGTATAAGACAATGGTCGTAAATAATAGGTTTAATTTAATAACTAATAGGTCCAATAATTAAAAGGTAAGTTGGTGGAATATGAATTAAAATCTATTAGGATTAATAAAATGTATTGAATGTTATATAGTTAGAGAAATTTAAAGTATGGCCAAAATTAAGGAATTAAATGAAATGGTCCAAACAATTTTCATAGATAGATTTTTTAGACTCTTTCTCTTTGAATAGTATTGATGAATGCTATTAATTTGATTTCGAGAGACTATTTTTGAGTTTGGACGGACCAATTTGGCTTAGGATCATCCTAGAGGATAACGACTCATGATCTCTCTCTCCTTATAGGCCTCTGCCTTCTCGATCATCCTTTGTGCGACTCTTTCCAATACACTTGTCTCCCCATCTGTTTACAATGTCCTAAAAGTTCTTTGCTTTATCAATGCCAGTCTCGGATACAAGTTTGTTACGAGTTGTTGTAAGAGGATAGTCTTTAGAGAAATGTAATATATATTTCTTCAAAGTGATCACACAAAACAATGATTTCATGAGAATTATACATGAGATCTTTTTCCTCCCCACAAGTTTGATCAATTATCTCCCAAAAGACTCTTAATTTCTGAAAAAAAAAACTTTTTCTTGTGGACTGATAATTCTCATACTAAAAACAAAAGTATAAATAGTAAGACTAAGCCATTCCACATCAGCAGACATCCCATGTACTTTGTTGGATCATTAGAGGGATCCTTGGTTTGGTGGTTATTCTCAGCTTCTAGAAGATGCTACGGTATGACTCCTGCTAGGGCCAAGCTCGCGCTTCACTTCTGACGTTTATGGACGAAACCTTTAGAGGATAGGTGGATGTGTAGAATCGTAGTAGTTATCTTTGCGTCGTGGAGTTTACACTTGCTTCATAGTTTGATTAACACGGAATCTTATCATCCCTTCTGGATTTTTTCTTCTTATTTAGCCGTCCATCATCACCCCCCTCGTTTTTCCTTTTCTTTCTCTCCTCACTTCGACAGGCATTTCATACTTTGCTTCATGAGAACAGTTGCTTTCATCCTTTTCATACACAAAACCTAAACCGCACTTCAACACCTTGAATTTTCCTTTCTTACTTGTATCGCCTGTCACAGTAAATTGAAGGGACGCTACAGTAGATGTGCAATTATCATAGTTCTCATCTTCTGGACACTCCAGAGTACATGGGCAACTGGTGTAGCCAATAAAGACATGGTCTGACTCAATATTTTCTTTTCTGGCTCCCTCTTTGATCCAACTTCCTACTGGGCAAGTAAACGGGACCCAAGACTTGTCTTCAACGTTTACTTTAAAGGTGCATGTCACTGACAAGCGGCTGAACTGATCTTCGCAATCAAAAGATGAGACTACAGCACACAGAGCTATTGCGGCAAGCCTTTTTTCATACCTCTGTGGGAAAAGTTTTACATTTATCTCAGATCCAAATGCTTCATGACAAAACCACGAAGGGACTTCACACCCAGGAAAGCTAGCGCTGACAAAAGTCTCTGAAACAAAACCCTGCAAAGTAGAATAGGAAAAATCATAAAACTGCAGAGCTCTTGGGAATACAAAACTTTAAGATATAGATACAAAGAGCGACAACGTGATGGAGTAAGGTATAGAGAGAAACCCCATTGTAACGTTTACGAGCATATGACAGCATCTGGCATTTTCTGTGAGCATACAACGTGATTTCCTCCTTTGCAGCTTGTTCCAGGTTCTCACAGTTGGTGAAAATTAAAGTGGACTGATTCCGCCCGGTTCGCATGATACGGGCCAGAGGGTTGGAAACTGTCTTCAGAGAACTACAACCATGTGCATCTAAGCACTGAAGATTTGGCGGAAACTCTGGAAGAGATGTAAGACTCTTACAGTACTTCAAATCCAGCCATATTAGTTGAGAAAGTTGACTGATGCCAGCAGGAAGGCAGCTGATCTTATCATTTCTGCTTAAGCACAAATACTGCAGCGAGGGTAGTTGTGGCATCACTTCTATGGCTGTCCCATCCAAAAGTAAAATGTTTAAAGAGGCCATCTTGATTTCTGGAAAATAATTGAGTTTTGAGCAATCAGAGAGTATGAGTTCCTGAAGAGCTTTCAGCTCACCAACCCGGACTGGGATTTTCTCCAGGTTTTGGCAGTTCTTCATATTCAGTACAATAAGTCTCTGGAGCTTCTCCATGTTCGTAGGAAGCTCACTTATTGCTGTACCATCTAAGTATAGAATTTCTATATTTTCTGAAATCAACGGAAACTCCTGCAAGTTTGAGCAGCCGCTTAGGGTAAGAGTTTTCAGAAAAGTTAAATTCATCTCTGGAAGAGATTCAAGACTTGTGCACCCTTTCAGATTCAGGAACGCAAGCCTTTTCATGTTTTCCATATTACTTAGCAACAGTTTCAGTGCTGTGCAGCCTTCAAGGTTCAATCTCTGAAGATTTTGAGCCGACGACAACGCTGACAAGCTGCACAACTTATTTGAGTAACTGAGATCGACCCACTTTAAGGCTGGTGTCTCCTGTGACAACAAAATATTTAACCAACTATCAGAAAAATTACTCAGGTTGACTCAACCATGCAAAAAGGCTATAAGCTTCTCACTAAGACAAACACACACCTTAACACCATCCCAAAGTCTTTCAATCTCGCTGGAGGGCAGCTTAAGGTCGACAAGTTTAATGGGGTTGAAATCATTTGGGAGTTTCTCCAATGGGAATTTTAGCCAGTGGAGGCATCGAAGCTCTTTCAGTGGCAGGGTAAGACCATCAGGGATGTTTATCTTATTGGTTGTTTTACACTCCTGAGGACAATGTGAGTTGTAGAACTTGAGATACCGGAGGTTGTGCATCTTGCTGAAGTGGTCACTCTCTAAGCATGTTTCGTTCTTCACTTCATACAAGTCTAGGAAAATACCTCTGACATTGGAAGCTTTCTGGTAACCATAAACAACAATATCAACATGATTGCTAAGATAGGCTTTTACCAATAAAAGTTTTGAAAAACTTGTAGACTCACCATTTTCTTCTGGAGTACATTAATTACGCCTCCCTTGATTATGTCTTGATGGAGCCACAGCCTCCGGTATCCTCTACCATTTATAGTGGGTGCTTCACGGTCAAGTTCCCTTGAAAAAGTATACAGTAGATCATGCATCTCCACTCGACCGTCATAAGTATAAATCAGGAACTTATTCGTGAGGGCTTTTACTAAACTCATTGCTTCTGTAGATCCAGGGTCAGACGAAGCCAGTAAACTTTCTACATATTCCATATCCTGCGATCTGAAACAGGCAATGTCGAGAAATGCATCTTTCTGTCCTAAGGTCAACTCATCATAACTCACTTGGAAGACACTACGAACACTAGGGCTGAGACTCTGTGCAAGCATCTTCAGTTTCGAATTCCAATGAACCATACTTTGCTGATTAAGCTCTTTACCCAACATTTCGAGAACTAGAGGATGGCCTCTCGCGTAACATACAAACTCTTCTGACAACTTCTTGAAATCCTCTGGAAAATTGGGTTGATCATCACTGAAGGCATGATAGTGAAAGAGTTCTAAGCTGTCTCTGTGGTCCAGATTACGGACCACATATGTGTCGTCCACCAGACCATTTGTTAAGGACGTGTCACTTGTTGCGATAACAATCCTGCTTCCTTCACTAATCCAGTCACGATTCCCGAGGAGAGCATCTACCTGTTCCCTTTCACTAATATCATCTAAAATGACAAGAACTTTGCTTTGGAGGAGTTGACCCTTGTAAATTTCGTACGGGTCCCCAACATTTTCTATGTGGGGATCTTCCAATCCCAATAGCTCTTCTAAAAGCAATGTGGGCAAGTAATCACACCCCAACTCCTTTGACTGTACACGGATTTGGTCGACCAGAGCGTGCCTAGCAAACTTAGGCTGCAACTCCTTAAAGAGGTCTTTGATGAGTGTGGTTTTACCAATTCCAGGCATCCCAACAACTCCAATAATACGAGTTCCTTTGTATTTAACACAATCCAACTTATCTCCCAACTCCTTCAGGCGTTGTTTGATTCCAAAAGTCCTATGCGTTTTGCCTTCTGAAGAAACTCCCTTAGTTGTGTCATAGCTACTTTTTGAAGGATCCGCAAAGGAATCTTGGATTGCCTCTGATGAAATTTTGTTCAGCATAAGCTTAACCATCTCCACGATTTGGTTTAATATTTTCCCCTCGTTGCTGCAATAAGAGTGCCGAACAACAACTAATGAGATCATCACCTTCCGGAAACCCCATGAAATGTTAGTATATCTATCTAATAATTGTAATCAGTTGAGCAAAATCACTTCGGAAAAAATTAGTTACCTATTCTCCTCTACGGTGAAACCCATTAGCCGAGGGATCGCCTGCAAAGCTTCCTTCCACTCCTTCCTCCTCTCATCACCTCTCGCCAGATTCCTGAATGCATCACCGAATTGTCCCCTCAATTCTCTCACGGTGGATGGCTCCAGTTTGTAGAAGATTGGAATAGCCACTAGTTTCTGTTTCTCCTCACACTCTTTGATCTTCGCCAGCTCGTTCAGGCACCAAATTGACTCGGTGTATTTTCTGGAGAAGATAGTCAGAGCGATCCTCGACTCCTCTATCATCTTCCATAGTTCGTCTAGTTTCTTGCCTCTAGCTTCATAGTCGTCAATAAATACATTGATTTTATCTTTCTGCAAGGCCTCCACGAGATGGCTGACGAATCCAGAGCGTAGATCCGCCCCACGAAAATTGATGAACACTTGATCTTGCGGAACCACATAAGTATCATGAACCAGGCCCTCTGTTAAAGAAATGTCATTTGTTGCAATGAGAACCCTGCTTCCTTCTTTAATCCACTCAGGTTTCTGGGAAGGACTAAATCCCCCAAGAAAAGCATTTATTTGTTTTGTTGTGCTAACATCATCAAGAACCAAAAGAATTTTGTGCTTGTCTAGTCGACGCTTAAGAGCTTCGTATGGTTCTTCAAAAGCATCAGTTTCAGGAAATTTCAACTCCAACTCTTCTAAGAGCAGTGTGGGGAAGTCATCTAACTCGGAGCCCTTTGACTTTTCACGGATTCGATCGATGAACACGTGCCTAGTAAACTTGGGGATCAGCTCCTTGTAGAGCTCTTTCAGCAGTGTGGTTTTACCAATCCCGGGCATGCCAACAACTCCTATGAAGCGGGTTCCTTTGTCTTTAAGATCCACCTTCTCTATCAGTTCCTTCAGGCGTTGTTTGTTTCCAAAAGTCTTATCCTTTTGGCCTCGTGAGGAAGTTCCGGCAGCTCCGGTGTTGCTGCTTTCTGAACCATTCACAGAGGTATATTGGCTTCCCTCTACTAGATTTCTGAACAGCACATTCTTAACAGCCTTCACAATATCTTTGAGTATTTCGCTCTCCTTGCTACAATAGCAGTGGAAAAACTAAGTAATATTAGTTTATGCTACCCATAATTATGCAGTACACCAATTTGATTTAGTTAACCTATAGTTACAATAATTTATTCTTATAATCCCTTAACTGAACATAAGTGACTCTTCATTCAATGTAGTGTATAGTGTGTCTCTGGATTATTATTTATACATATATATGAGAGATTAAGAAGAAGAGTAACCAGAATTCTAAAGAGATTTCTAGAGAAGGTAGAAATTAGATAGAGAGAGAAAGGTAACGGTCAAGCTTTTAGTAAAAAGTTTTTACCCTATCTACAACTGTGAACCTAGAATTAATAGTCAAGCTTTTAGTGAAAAATCAGTTACCTATTCTCCCCAACAATGAAACCCATTATTTGAGGGATCGCCTGCAAAGCTTCCTTCCACTCCTTCCCCCTCTCATCACCTCTCGCCAGTTTCCTGAATGCATCACCGAACTGTCCCCTCAATTCTCTCACGGTGGAGGGCTCCAGTTTGTAGAAGATTGGAATAGCCACCAGCTTGTATTTCTTCACACACTCCCTGATCTTCGCCAGCTCTCTCAGGCACCAGATTGACTCGGTGTACCCGTTGGTAAAGATAACCAGAGCTATCCTCGACTCCTCTATCCTCTTCAATAGTTCGTCTATTGTCTTGCCTTTCTCTTCAAAAACGTCGATGAAGACGTTGATGTTATCTTTCCGCAAGGCCTCCACGAGATGGCTGACGAATCCAGAGCGTAAATCCGCCCCACGGAAATTGATGAACACCTGTTGATGATGGGGCATCATTTCTTTCGAGGATGAAGTTTCAGATCTGGGTTGTTCGGATAAGTGATGAATGGGTAGAGAGAAAGTCAAGGATCTATTATAATATAGAAACTCTGCTTTAACTATTTTAGTAATACCATCTCCATCCATTAGTACCCCTAATGAGTACTTAAGAATAAATAAATAATTAATTTTGTGATTTGACAGTTTAAATACCCTTGTTAATGTATTTATGTTTTGCATCTTCCATTGGTAGGATCTTAATAGAGGTTCTAAAAAAAAAAAAAATAAGTTGAATGATTTTAGTTATTAAAAGATACATAAAAGTTTTATTAAACATGACATAAAAACATATTAAAAATACAAATACAAATACAAATAGTAAACGAGAAAGGCGGATTAGTAGAAATCTTGATCGGTTCCAAACTTTTGCCATATATTCTCAACCAAATCCGCTTTCAATCGTTGATGTATTGTTCTATCACGAATTTCATTCCGAATGATCATCATATTCCCGAGATTTGAAGGTATATCTGTAGAAAACGAAAAATCCACTTCCGAACTTCGGTTTGAATTGGGATTTTGGAAAACTGAAACATCAAACTGAGTGAACCGATCTCGTTCGTCTTCTACGATCATGTTATGTAGAATGATACATGCTCTCATGATCTTTCCTACTTTTATTTTATCCCATAAAAGAGCTGGATTTTTTACTATGGCAAATCGAGCTTGCAAGACCCCAAAAGCTCGCTCGACATCTTTACGTACAGCTTCTTGATGTGTAGCGAATAAGGATGCTTTCGGATCTTGCGGAAGTTGAATAGATTGGATAAAAGTAGCCCAATTTGGATAAATACCGTCGGTGAGATAGTAAGCCATTCGGTACTGGTGTCCGTTGACAGTGTAATTAACTTTTGGAGCTTTACCGTGTAATATATCATCAAAAACAGGTGATCGATCAAGAACATTGATATCGTTTAATGTACCTGGAGGTCCGAAAAATGCATGCCATATCCAGAGGTCTTGTGACGCTACAGCCTCTAGAACAATGGTTGGCTTTCCTGATCCACGTGTATATTGACCTTTCCATGCGGTGGGACAATTCTTCCACTCCCAATGCATACAGTCAATGCTTCCTATCATCCCCGGAAATCCGCGTAGTTCTCCAATATCAAGTAGTCGTTGAAGATCTTCTGGCGTCGGTTTTCTTAGATACTCGTCTCCAAATAAATTTATGATTCCTTGAACAAAATGTTCCAAGCATAAAAGCGCGGTGGTCTCACCAAGTCGGAGGTATTCGTCGACCGCATCAGCTGCGCAACCATATGCCATCATACGAATAGCAGCTGTTGCCTTTTGTAACGGAGAGTGACCGAACCTTCCAGTAGCATCTCTTCTCTGTTGAAAGTATGAAATTTCGGCGGAGAGTCGATCAACGATACGCATGAACAATGACTTGTTCATTCTAAAACGGCATCGAAAGACATGAGACGGATATGTTGCATCTTCACTAAAATAGTCGTTCCATAATTGTATGTGCCCTTGTTCTCGTTGTCTTTCAATGTAAGCTCGTTTATTTTTTGATCTTGATGCTTCTTGACGATTTTCAGCCCGAGTGAGGAGATTCTCCCATTTTTGATCGAACATTTCATCAAACTTTTCATCCATATAGTCTTCGAAATTATTAGAAGAAGAAGCATCCATTGAGTATAAGTGAAATGGTAATTTGAAATGGTAATAAAAAGAGAATTTAGAGGATGAGAAACGATACTTTGAAATGGTAATTTGAAATGGTAATAAAAAGAGAATTTAGAGGATGAGAAACGATACTTTGAAATGGTAATAAAAAGAGAATTTAGAGACACTGCTTTTTACAAACGATACCTCACAACTTGTATCTGATAAATGAGACTCTGGTTTTCACAAAAGATACCTCACAACTTATACACAACTCAACTTATATGCAACAATTTTTTAAAAACAATTTACTAAAATGTCTTGGCCTTGAGTGTCACGAGTTGTCCTTGGCTTTGAGTGTCACAAGCCTCGGTCTTGGCTGCTTCTGTCACAAGAAGTAGTTACGTCTTGGCTTTATTCTCCACCTGCAAGAGACATAAGCAAAACGTGGTTAAGTATTGTCCAACTAACAAAGCCACGACAAAACAGAACCAAATTAACATTCAAGAACAATTTATGAAACACTGAACCATTAACTTTCATTAAACTTGAGACAGAAAACATCCATTAACCATAAAACATAAACTTAAGACATACAAACTTAAACAGAAACAAAATACAAACTTAAGACATAAACTTAAGACATACAAACTTAAAACAGAAACTTAAGACATAAACAGACTTGCTACTTAAGACTCAAGCTATGACATCTCTAATGAGCTTATCTTTTAATTGCATTTCGAGTTCACTTAGTGGCTCAGACTTGGCAATTAGGCTCTCAAGCAGTTTCTGCTTGCTAAGAGTGTCCTTATATTTAAATTCTTTCTGCCTAATCTCCCAAAAGCTTTGAAATTCCTTCTTCTCATTCTCTTCTGCTTCTTTGCTCGCTTGCTTTCCCACTGTCTTCTTTCCTTTTGCCTTTGCTGCTTTAACACCTTCTGGCCGAGCCATTGCTTCATCTTCTCTGTGACTTACAGGCTCTGAGGTTGATGATTGATCATCCAACTTCCTTCTTTTTGACTGAATTTTATCTTTGGTAGCAGACGATGCAATCCATTTCTGATCATATCGTAGCTCTAACCAGGCATGTTCTAGAGTGAACTTGGCCTTGTTATCACTGAAGAAAATCTTATGAGCATCGCTCAAGACGTCATTCTCGCTGTGTCCACTCCCGTTGCGCTTCTTTGCTGCTTCATAACATCCAACAAACCTACAGACGCCCTCATTAATCTTCCCCCATCGCGCTTTACATTGTGATGGCCCCCTCTTTTGCGCGCCATCCACCTTTCGACTCGCAGCAAAATAAGCAGAAATCCGCTTCCAAAAGGCATCTGCTTTCTGCTGATTTCCAACCACAGGGTCTTTCGAGGTGTTTAGCCAAGCACTTATCAGCACCACATCTTCTGTTGGTGACCATTTGCACTTAGACATCTTCTGTTTATGGCCAGACAAGATCTCTGCATCATCGTTGCCATCTTCGGTCCACTGTGAACCGAGCATAGAGGCATCAGACGCAGAGACTTCAACAGAAGGCGCATGAGGTTCAGGCTGATAAGGCTCACGAGGTTCAGGCTGATAAGGCTCACGAGGTTCAGGCTGATAAGGGTTTTGAGTGATTGGTTGTTGAGAGTGTAACAGGTTTTGAAAGCTACAATGTTGAGTATAAGGATCCATAGTAGCTTTCGAGAAGGAAAGTAGATGGAGATTTTTAATAGCTTGAGGGGATGCTTAAAATGTTATCTAAATGTTGAAGTTTTAAAGGGTAGTTTTTAAGTTGTTCACGTTTTAATGTTGTGGTTAGTTGTTGAAGTTTTAAATGTTTTTTACTAACAACCAACCATTTAGTTCTCGGGTTACATTTACTAACAACAATCAAAGCTAACCACAATTTACTAACATTAATCAACTCTCACTCCCAACCATTTACTAACAACCAACTACATCTACTTCTCGGGTTTCATTAACTAACAACCAACCATTTACTAACAACCAACTACATCTACTTCTCGGGTTTCATTAACTAACAACCAACTACATCTACTTAGACAGAAAATTAATTTACCTCTGTTGCAACTGAGAAATGAAAGGCATGAGCTTCTCCTCAACCCTCGCACAACCACATTATCAATCCTCGCACAACCAACAAACAAACCAAGTTTAATTAGTCGTTTGTTCTCTATCACAATAAACAAAAACAACAACAGAAAACAAATAAAAATTGGTCTGATCATGTGAACAATTTTTATTAACACAAAACAACTCAGAACTTAAGCATAGCGATTCCACAAACAATTAATCTCAATTTTACTAAGCTAAAAGAACTCAAAACTTAAGCATAATAGATCCAGAAACAAACATTTCATCTATTCGACAGTGAACAAAACTCAACTAGTAATCTAATAACAGATTTCACCGTTCTCAGTATTATAAACGATCATAAAAATCTTAATCTACTAGGAATTAATTTTACAAAAGATGAGGGATGTGATCAAAAACGAAATGGAGACAACAGTAACATAAAGATCAAATCATCTTGATGATTTCTTACCGATGAGGGATCGAACGAGATTCTGGACAGAGAGAGACGACGAGATTCGTCGGACCGACAGAGAGTTTCGAGACGTCATCGAGACTAGAGAGATACGACGAGATGAGATGAGCTTCGAGAGATGGGTGAGCTTCCTTCGAGAGAGAGAGATGAGGAGATTATCGAGAGAGATAGAGGAGGAGCCTCGACAGATATACGACGAGGCTCGACAGAGAGACGACGAGGCTCGACGGAGAGACGACGAGGCTCGACGGAGAGGAGAACGCCACTCCAGACAGAACACGAGTTCTACTTCAGAATCGTCGAGATTCGAGAGAGAGAAGGCGGAGAAGACGAGAATGCATGTGGAGAGGTTGATCGTCACGAAGGAGAGAGAGATATTGGTTGGGGTCGAATGAGAACATGCC